CTTTGAGTGTCTTGCAGCTGCTGTACCTCGTTTCGCTTCCATGCTGCTTGCCCCTGAGGGAGACCCGGATGTACCAGACATCCCGACCCCGCGCTCTACGCAGAGGCGATTACGGGTCCTTACTCCTCTCAGTGGCAGGCAGCCATGGATGCCGAGATGGCATCCTGGAAGTCCACAGGCACCTACGTCTACGCAGTTCCCCCTTCTCGGGCGAACATCGTCAGTGGCATGTGGATTTTCAGGGTGAAGCGGCCGCCGGGTTCTCCGCATGCCTTCAAGGCGCGTTACGTTGCTAGAGGCTTCAGTCAGCGACAGGGGGTTGACTACTTCCAGACCTTCTCCCCTACCCCAAACATGACTACTCTTCGGGTGTTGCTGCACGTCGCTGCTCAGCGTGACTACGAGTTGCACTCTCTGGACTTCAGCACAGCTTTCTTGCAGGGCAGCCTGCACGAGGAGATCTGGCTGTGCCGACCACCTGGCTTCACTGGTACGTTTCCTGCAGGTACCCAGTGGAGCCTCCGCCAGCCAGTCTATGGTCTCCGCCAAGCGCCTCGCGAGTGGCACGACACACTGAGGACTACACTTGCGGCTCTTGGGTTTGCTCCTTCTACTGCTGATCCGTCGCTGTTTCTACGCACCGACACCTCGCTGCCGCCGTTCGACGTCCTCGTCTACGTCGACGACCTCGTCTTTGCCACTGCTGACACCGAGGCACTGACCCTTGTGAAGTCGGAGCTGCAGAAGAGACACACCTGCACTGACCTGGGTGAACTGCGCAGCTATCTTGGCTTGCGGATCACCCGGGACAGAGCACAGCGCACCATTACCTTGACTCAGTCACACATGGTGCAGCAGGTCCTTCAGCGCTTCGGCTTCCAGTTCTCCTTGCCACAGCCCACTCCTCTGTCTACCAGCCACTCGCTCTCAGCTCCACCTTCTGACGAGTCCGTAGAGCCGAGTGGTCCGTACCCAGAGCTTGTGGGTTGCCTCATGTACCTGATGACGTGCACACGACCTGACCTCGCGTACCCTCTCAGCCTCCTGGCTCGCTACGTGGCACCCAGTAGACACCGAAAGGTGCACTGGGATGCTGCGAAGAGGGTACTGCGTTACCTGTGCAGTACGTCGGGCATGGGGCTCGTGCTTGGAGGACGGGGTCCAGTTGTCCTCACTGGTCACGCAGACGCTTCTTGGGTTTACGACTCAGCTACGCAGCGGTCGTCACAGGGTTACACCTTCAGCCTTGGTTCCGGCTCTGTTTCCTGGCGGTCTACCCGCTCGTCTTCGGTTCTCAGCTCCAGTTCTGAGGCTGAGATACACGCAGGGGCCATGGCTGCACAGGAGCTACGCTGGCTCACCTACCTGCTGACTGACTTGGGAGAGCAGCCTCGTTCACCTCCAGTTCTGTACGTAGACAACAAGGCCATGATTGCCTTGCGTCAGGAGCACAGACTGGAGCACAGAACGAAGCACATCGCTCTGCGATACTTCCTTGCTCGAGAGTTGCAGCAGCGTGGCCAGCTTCGTCTTGCGTACGTGGCCACTAGGGCCAACACTGTTGATGTATTCACCAAGGCACTTCCGCCTTGTGATCATCAGCGCTTTTCTACTGTGTTAGGCCTTGTGCCTACTTTGCCTCGCTTGCTTACTGCTTGACTCTGCTTGTACTGTGATCTATATAGATACATCTTGTTAGAATCAGGAACGGAATGAATGAAACAGAGAAGAGGGATTTCACTAGCAAGCAGTTGAGTACATATAGCAAACCCTAAATTGGGCTGTACTCACTATTGAGTACCCCACAGCAGGCTAGACAAACATAACATTCTGACACATCCCCATAGCCAAAGTGGGGTCTAATCAGCACAACAAGCAAAGCAAAGCAAGCTCAGGGTGGATCACGACGTCACCACACATTCTGAGCACAAGTACAAGAAGCAGCAGTTTATAGTTCACAGTAATAAGCAAAGCTAGAGGCTATCAGAGAGGGTAAGTGAGGAGGAGGAGGGACTATGAGAGGAGAGGAGATAGGAGACGACGGGTGAAGCTGCAGAAACACTGGCAACAGGAGCGGCGCGCACTGTGGCTACCGGAGATTGTAGCCTCCGGACTACTGGAGTAACTGGCTCCGCTGCTAACTCTGAGCGGCAGGAGCAACGGACCCACGGGCGACTGGCGCAGCAGGCTTGCTGGGCTACCGGAGATTGTAGTCTCCGGACCACTAGCGCAGCTGGCGACACGACGGCTGCCTCCGCCCAACCTCCCTCTAAATGTCTCACCCCCCTTTCACACACCCCCTGCGGCACCTCTAGGACTGCTCACACACCACCCCCTAGTTCCACTCCGTCAACTCCCACACACCCACCCCCCTCAGCGGCAGCTGCAGCAGTGGGAGACGGAGGAGGAGGAGGAGCAGGGGAGGCCGCACACACCCATCACCCCATACGCGCCACCCCCAAACCCCAACACAGGGCAGGGCCGCATCAGGGCGGCTGCAGGGCAGGGCCGCAACGAAGGACGGGAGGGGCCGACGCGCGGCCCCCCAGGCAGCCTCGACGGGCGACGGGGGAGGGGGGGCGACGCGCGGCCCCCCAGGCCGCCTCAACGGGCGACGGGGGGGGCGACTCGCGGCCCCCCATGTCGCCTCGACGGGCGACGGGGGGGGAGGAGGGGGGGGGGGGGGGGGGGCGACGCGTGGCCCACCAGGGCGCCACGACGGGCTATGGGGAGGGGCGACGCGCGGCCCCCCAGGTCGCCGCGACGGGAGACGCGTAGCCCCCCAGGGCGCCGCGACGGGCTACGGGGGGGGGGGGGGGGGGCGACGCGAGGGTCGACGTGGGGGGGGGGGGGGGGGGCGCGGCTCCCTCAGGGCGTCGCGAGGGTCCAGCGGGGGCGATGCGAGGGCCGACGGGGGGGGCGAGTGCGGCACCCCGGGGCGCCGCGAGTGTCGACGGGGGGGGGGGGGGGGGGGCGCGCTGGTCCCCAGGGCGCCGTGACTGGCAGCCAACCGCCGCGCGCCTCGGGGCGCACGGCGGGCAGAAAACCGCCACGCGCTCCGAAAAAACGTCGCGCGCCAGACAGGACAGCAGCGGAAGCAGGTGGGTCCATGCACAGGATCGACCTAGGAGGGTCGACCTGCTCTGATTCCATGTTAGAATCAGGAACGGAATGAATGAAACAGAGAAGAGGGATTTCACTAGCAAGCAGTTGAGTACATATAGCAAACCCTAAATTGGGCTGTACTCACTATTGAGTACCCCACTGCAGGCTAGACAAACATAACATTCTGACACATGTATGCTTACACTTGCTAGGGTATGATCACTGTATTGTTTGTTCTCTTTATATAACACTGCATGTGAATTGGCCTTGTGGCCCTTTGCTTATGCTTGGACTGTGTGGTGACTTTGTGATCCACCCTGAGCTTGCTTTGTTTTTCTTGACTGGTCTTGTGACCACTTGTTCTCCCCCACTTTGCCTATGGGGGTGTGTCAAACTTATATATAGCGTACATTTGTGTAGGCTGTAGTGGGGTAGCCCATAAGGGGTACAACTCAATTAGGGTTAGTACTTGTACCCAACTCTTTGCTAGTTCATTCATTCTCGTTCGTTCTTTCTGACACCCAGCACACCACACAACTCGATACATTGAAACCAACACACAGACAGACATACCAATTGCGGGCTGGTTGTGTGGGTTCAGTTCGGATTGCTGGGGGCTTTGTAGTGTTGGTGGGCTAGGGGGTGTAGTGTTGGTTCAATGTTCACGCACGCGTCGCGGGCCACAAATAATTTGACCATGCGGCTCGGTTTTTATTTTTCGAGTAGTTCGCGCGCCAATCCAGTGTCAGAATTGTGCATCCGTCCGTTTGCAATTCGAACTGCCAAAAGTTCATAATGTGATCTGTTGCTTGGAGGGAAAAGTGACGCGACAGGTTGAACCGTTGGCGACGTCGCCAATACCTTCACGAAACATTCACGACAAATGGCGAAAAAATGTAACATGTTCGCAAATCGAACGGTCCACGGTTCGAACCGTCGGGAGCAAAAAGGAGACACGCCCTGAGGAGCCGTGGAATGTGCAAGGACATTCGAGTTGAGTATGAAGAGGGGAGGGGAGTAGAGAGTTGAGTCGAGTGCTGCAGATCAGTGAGTGATGGAACATCACATGTATGGATTTTAGTAGGATTTGAAGGGGTGTAAGGGAAAGTTTGCTTGTTGTGCAATGTGCTTATATTCTGAAAAAAACAAAAAAAAAAAAAAAAAAAAAAAAAAAAAAAAAAAAAAAAAAAAAAAAAAAAAAACCCCATTCTTGGGAATGGGTCTCGAACCTTAGGGCGTGTTACGTTTGTTTAATTGTTCTGGTCCGGTCGCCCATCTGTCCGTACAGTTTTGTGGTTACGTAGGTCGTCACAGCTCGCAAAAATATTCGTCAGGAAACGAACGACGTCATAAGCGTCGTATTGCGTCAGATTTCACTTAGTCTTCAGATATTGCACTCTACGAGAATCCACGACTGGTGGTTGTAGTTTGTGGTCGTCCTAGCCCTCCAATTGGGCCCTCCCCCTCCAAGCCGACCCTCCCGCAGAGTAGTAGTGGAAACAGAAATCTCGTGTCTTGCGCGACCTCCCCGAACGCTCTCGCGCGTAGATATGGTTTTTGGTCGTGCCACACTTACTCTTCGGCGGGCGCAATACCCGCTTCCTCCTGCAACCCGACTTGATGACACCCTGCTTTTCTTCTCGAAGATTTCGGCATTACCACTCCTCAACTCGCGTATGCGTTCAGTTCAGACCCTTTCGAGGCATCCACTGCGGGTCGATATTGAGACTAGGCCCCCCAAACTATCTTACTTCCCCATAACTCCGACTAGACTGTCGCCTTCGCCATCTACTTTTACCCTGCACTCTCCGCCTGTCTTCCGCCATGAACGATTTCGGCGATCCACACACACGCTGTTCGCCTCAAAGCGCGAAAGCTTGTGGCGGAGCCGCAACATGGCGGGCGAGGCGGTGGACGCCGTTCAAGAGCTGAAACTGGCCGCCGTGCTTGATGCTCGAGACGAGCAGCGCCGGTGGGAGGAGGAGGGGGAGGACGATATGGAGGAAGTGGAAGAGAACGAGGAGGAAGAGATGCCTCAACAATCTCGTCACGGAAACATGGCGACTATGAGGGATGTCGGCAAGCAGGACCTGATGCAAGCAGCAGCTGCACACGGGGGTACACAGATGGTCGGTTGGTCCAACGCTGATACCGCGAGTGCAGTTGCACCCGAGGCAAGCAGGTTGAGCGCGGGCGTGGGGAAGCGGTGGGTGTGCGGGGCGCGCGTGGAGGCGGTGATGCGCAGCAGGGTGGCGCGGCTGGTGAAGCCCGACATGCTGCTCGCCCTGCAAGAACTGCAGCGCCAACAGCACTGGCGCCTCGCCGCGCGGGTGAGAGACAAGTGAGAGAGTTGACGCTGATGGAGTGAAAGATGTTTCTGCAGTGGGATGGGAGCGGATCGGTGGTGCCTGGAAGCCTAGGGATAATGACGGAGTGTGGTAGAGGGACGAATCAAAGAGAAGGGGTTGGGTTTTAGTGGGGGGAGAGGGTTTAGTTCCTACCACGGTGTCATTTTAATTTTCTGCTTCGTTCACAGCAAAATTCCCAAAGCAGCACCCTCATGTTTGATCCAAAGTCCATTCCCCTCACTATGTTTCTCCCTTGAGTACCCATTTTTCTGTCTTCCACCCCAACCCCCCACTTCCCCGCCCTGCTTCCGATCTGTTCCCACGTCACCTTTACACGTAGTATCAATAATTATACCCTTGTTTAATGCTTCCCTTCCACGCTTCTGTCTTGCCTCTTTATGCCATCGTCTTTCCCGGTGAACTTTTCTACCATACCACCCTCCCTGCCTTCCCTCAACCATATGCCACTTTTGTCCGTGCAACCTTTTCCCTAGTGAGTTCTCATTCTGGTTCTCGTTTATTACATCTTCTTACAAGGGAGTTCTCATCCTGGTGCTTCATGAGCTCGTTTCTCCCTTGTTGCCTTGCCTCCCATTTGTTCCTTAATGCCCATCTTTTCTCCAGTTGTTGAACTCATGATCCCCACTTCCCCTCCTCCAAGCCTCCCTCCCATCCTTCCCCCAAAGTTTCTCCAAACGCATTTTCTTCTGACCACTCCCCCCATTCAAGGTAGGAACACCCCGTTGCGTCCCCATTCGCCCCTCCCAATCCCCCATGGAGCGCAGGTGTTTGAGCAGGTGCGCAGGGAGCACTGGTACAAGCCCGACCCCGACCTCTGTGCGCGCATGATCAACTGCCTGGGGCTCGCAGGCCGCATCACGGACGCCCACGCGCTCTTCCACGCCACACTGCACGAGGACGGCGTGCCGCCCTGCTCGCCCACCTACACTGCTCTGCTCGCCGCTCACTGCCGCTCTGGGGACTACCGGAGTGGCCGGGAGGTGCTGGGGAGGATGAGGGAGGCGGGGGCGGGGCCGTATGACTTGGCGTACATGATTCTGATCAAGACGTGTGAGGCGCAGGGCGATACCGTGGCAGCAGCGGAGCTGAAGACGGAGAGGGATGTGGTGCTGGCGGCGTGGGGGCAGTTGGGGGTGCCTAAACCCCCTCGCCGCTCCAAGAAGAAGTAGACCACGATTGGCTTGCTCTCCTCTCATGCAGTATTGATTGTTAGCTTGGTGAACAATTGTGGAATGGAAGGTGTTGTAAGCAGTTATGGAGGCTGGAGCTACTCTCTTTCAACCACATTCAAAGAGGCGTATGAGTATTTCCTGACATTGAGAAAACCCTCTGAGGCAAAAGCAGTAGATGCTGTTGAAGGGATTTGAGCCACAGAAATGCATGAGTTCCATCCGCGGCCGGACCAAGGGCACGTTGATTTCTGGTTCAAGGCATGTCTTTTTAGGACAGAGCTATGGTGTCTCTACTTACAATGATGAATTACCCATGATTATCACAGAGCGAGCGAGGTGCTTTGAAGACTAATCGCTACAGTTCCCTCCAATACTGTATTCGTATCTCAGAAATGCAGTGCTGGTACCTCAGACCAGCTTGATATTTGGTTTCCCCCAACAGAACCTTAAAGCAAGTATAACTAAGTTACGTACGTTGTTTGTGAGCGCTCCCATCCCACTATGTACCCTCCCCTTCTGCATGCACGTGCAAGCATCGACCCAAGTCCACCGAGACCAGCACCCACCACCACGCTCTGCTATCCAGCATCGTGTCCCTCCCTGTTTGCATCCGCCCCCTCACTTTGCTCCTCCCCCCGGCCGCTTTCCTCCTGTGGGCATGCCTGGAGGGCAGTGCGGCAGCGGCAGCAAGCAGCAGCGAGGGGCTGGCACGGTGCAGAGAGGCAACTGGCAGGGCTGAGGCGGGGCGGGCAGCAGGCGATGGGTGAGCAGCGGTGGAAGGGGTTGGGGTGGTCCTGCTGGCAGGTGAGGAGAGGATAGAGCAGCATGCCTGGGCACTGGGGGCTTAGAGGACTAGTGAGGGCGAGAGGGCACACGACGCACTGCGCGTGCTGCCCTGCCATCAGTTCCTCCCCGAGCCTTCTGTGCCTCCACTCAAGCACGACAGTCCTCCACTGCCTCCTCACTCCTCTACCTGCCCCACACCTCACCTCACCTCATCTCCTCCCTAGTTCCTCGCCCTGTTCACCTTCACTGCCCCATTGTCCCGTCCTGCCATTCATCGGCCCTGCCCCACCACCTGGAGGCGTCTCCACCACAGCCTCCCTCTCTCCCGCACCTGACTCTGCACGCCTCAACTCCTGCCGCCCCTCCTCCCCTGACCCCGCTTCTGCACCTGCACTTATCCGCGCACCATTCACCCCCACCCACTTTACACTGCTATCCACACCCTTGCCTTCGACTTCCCCTCCGCCTTCAACCCACTTGCCCTGTGCGGCGCTGCTGCTGCCCACTTGGCCCCCTTGCCACTCACTCCCAGGCACCCCACCCATGCTCCCCACCACTCTCGCACTCGCGGCCTCGCCATCTGCACCATGCACCGCACTGTGCACTGCGCCGTTCCCCCCTTCCCCCCGCATTGCCTCGGACTCTGCTCCTCGTACTTGCGCCCGTGCCTGCCCCCCGTCACCACCACACCCCGGCGTGGCGCCAGCATGCGTCCAAGCAGCAGTGCCACTGCCACTGCCACTCAACCCACGGCGCCAGTCCCCCCCAGGCACTCTGTGCGCGGGTACCCCTCCCGGCGCGCCCTTGGGCGTGAGTGGTAGCGCAGTTGTCCTCTCAGCGCGGGCCACAGCGCGGCCTGCCTGGTCCAGCAGGCGGCGTGTCTCGAGCAGCGATGCCATGGCCGTGGCGTCCCTCGCTGCCAGCGCCTCCAACGACTGCGCTGCACTCTGTGCCTCCTGCATCAGCACCCTGCACACATACCACCGCATGCACGGCACATCACCCAGTGTGGGGAACAAGGATGCGAGGAAAGAGTAGCATCAACACCCTGCTGCACGCGCGGCCACACTCATCATGGCATGAGGGGGGCAAGCCAGGAATCCAGGGATAGAGAGGCTAAATGGTTCAGGGTGACACAGCAAAGGCGTTCAGGGTGGGAGCGCCAACGGGAAGCAGGGCGGGTGGAGGCAGGGCGAAAGGGGGGGCGTGCAGTGGCAGCAGGCAGAGACATACCTTGCCCTCTCCGCCAGCTGTCGGCGTCGCCTCGCTATGAGCTGGCGAGCCAGGCGCCTTTGATTGGTGGTGGGTGAGAGGGGGAGCAGCGAGGGCAGCGGTGCAGCAGAGGGCGGCGCATGATGTTGCCTGACGGCGCCATTGCCTGTCCCTTCTCCCCCATGCAAACCACCACTCACACCGCCCTGCCCTGCACCACCATCACTCCCACTCGCCCCCTTCGCCTGCCTGCGGTCCCCAGCACTGAACCGCCAACCACTCTCCCCACCGGCCTCCACTAGAGTCTTCATGTCCTCCATATCGCTCTCCACTTCCTCTTCCTCCCCTCCTTCGACTCCTTCCTCTTCCACTTCCCTTTCCTCCTCCCCCTTGCCTTCCTCTCCACCTTGCAAGCCACCTTCCCCTAGCAGACCCACACGCACAGCGACCCCTGTGCTCTCCTCTACTCTCTCCTCACCGCCCACACCCCGCGCCTCCTCCTCCCCCGCACTACCGCCTGCCTGCCGCACAATGAGTACGCGCTTGAACCGCATGCCCCCCCCATCCCCCTGCGCCTGCTCTGCGCCCTGCGCCGCGCCCTGTGCGCCCTGCGCGCCCTCCGCCTGCGCGCTCTCCGCGGCCATCACGGCCTGCACGAACGCCTCGTCCGCCTGCTGCACCACCACCGCCGCGCCGCGCCCTGCTGCTCCCTCCCCGCCCTCTCCTCCCCCCTCCGCCTCTTGTCCCCCCGCTGCCGCTGCTCCCGCTGCCGTCTCCTTGGCCGTCTCTCTGCGCTCCCTCTCTCCCACCCGCACTGCCCTGCGAGCTCTCGCTGCCCTGGGCGCGGCAGCAGGCGCGGGGGCAGGCGAAGTGGGGTCGGCGGAAGACGGGGTGCGCTGCACGCTCTTCATGCCGCGCGCCACGTTGCTGCGGTAGGCCTGCGAGCACACAGAGGGGAGGAGGTGGGGGGGAGGGTGACGAGGAGCGGTGAGGAAGGGGAGACAGCGGAGTGGGGGAATAGAAGCAACGCATGTGGTGAGGAGAGGTGCTGGCGCGTGTTGTGGCGAAGCACCTCGACAGCATCCCTTATCAGCGCTACACTCACGGCCTTTGCCGTCACTCACGGGGTCGGCCCACTTGGCTTTGATGGCTTCCGATATTCGCCGCCGGTGCTCCTCGCTCTGCCCCCCCCGCCTCACCGCCACCCGCTTCTCGCTGCTTCCACCGCTCCCTTCACCCTCTCCCCACGCCGTTTCCTCCCCCTCGCCCCCGCTCGTCCCACCATCGCCACGGCCCTTGCCAGCCGCCGCGGAGCCACCCTCTCCGCACTCTCGTGGCGGCGCGGAGGTGCGCGGCGTACGGCGCTCGCGCTTGGCGGAGGCGCGCGCGAGCACCTCGTCCGCGTACACGACGCGCCCGTTGCCGCACCGCACCAGCTCGCGGTCGCCCGCCAGCCCCACCCGCGCGGCCGCCGCCAGCTCCCCCTGCCACTCCGCCAGCAGCGCCAGCGCCGTCAGGCGCTCCTGCTTCTTGCGCTGCCACGCCGCGCGCATGCGCTCGCGAATCAGCGACCGCGTCTCCGCGCTGCCGAGGAGGGGGAGGACGGAGGCGCAGAGGCGCGCGGGGAGAAGGGGCAGGGGAGACGCAGGGGATGAAGAGCCGTTTCAGAAATGGAGCAGCGGCGAGCGGGCATCAGTGAAATGGCGGCGTCAGAGTGTGGCGTACCTTTGCGTGTGCCCGTGGTCGCGAAGCCGCTCGCGCACCTGCCGCGCAGCAGATGACATGTGGCAAGATTGGGTTAGAGTGGGGGATCGCTGGAGCACACAACAGGAGAGGCGAGTGCGTTGTGCGTTTCAAAAGAGTAGCACTAGAGTCCAATGCGAGATGGAGGCAGGGCGCAAAGGGGCAGCAAGGAGTAACGTACCTCGGGGTTACTCATTGCTTGCTTCGTTCTCTCGCGGATCTTCGCACGAACCTCTGGGAAAGAGACAAGGGGGAAGCGAGGCCGCACTTTAGCGTGGTACAAGGGCAAGGCGGGGGACAAGCGCAAGGCGGAGGGGAGCGACAGATGCGAGTGTACATGCGGTGGAATGGAGGCTGCGCAACTCGTGCGCGCACCGGCGCGGAGAGCGCACGCACCTGCGCTCCACTGCCTGCCCTTGTTCCACGGCACTTTCCCCTTGTTCGCCTCGCTGATGCGCCCTCGCCTCCGCTTCTCCTTCTCCGCCTCGCTCTCCTCCGCTTCCGCCGCGCCTGCTTGCCCCTCCGCCTGCCACCCCGCTCGCTGCTCGTCTCGCACCTCATCCCCACCGCCGCGCCACCCCGCGGCGCCCGCATCGTCCGCCCGCCAGAACCCTATCCCCTGGCCATTGCGTATCCCGCCATCCGCGCCCACGGCTTGCGCCTGCGCGCTCCCCTGCGCCCGCCACGCCTGCGCCAGAAGGTCAGCCCGCAGCGACGCGGCGGCCACTCCCGGCGCGCACCGCCGCCACTGTGGTGACGGCCGGCCGAGGGCTGTGCGGCGCAAGCGCGCGGTCAAGGGCGCGCGCGGAGGTAGCGCGCCTACTGCCGCGTGCAGCCGGCAGCGGGCGCGAAGGCGATGCGCAGGATGCAGGGTGAAACCAGGCGGTCGCCGCGTGCCGCTCGAGCCCGGGCCCAAGGCAAGGCGACGAGTGGGTCCCCGCGGCCCGCCTCGAGTGTGGCCGGCTCTCTCCGCCGCTGCGGGCCGTGCCATCCACCCCTCATGCTCTCCGCCACACCCGGACGTCGCAGCGCGCAGCGGCCCCCGAGCCGCTGCGTTAGTACCACGCCGCAGGTCGTGTGCGTGCGGCTGTCGGGTGGCGGTGCAGCGCAGGCAGCAGAGAGACAGCCTCGCGGGGTTGCGAGGCGGAGTGGATGTGAGAAAGACGCGGAGAGGACTGACGGGTGGAGCAGGGAGCAGCGCGGCATGGCGGGAATGGCGCGGACATGGCGGCAGCGCTACTGACGCCATGATCTCGCGCTACCTAGTGACGCAACACATCAAGCGGCAGGGGATACAGGAGCAGCTCCTTGCTGCAGCTAAGCGTCAGTGTTGAAGCACCCGTATCCTGCGATTACGTGGCAGCAGTACACTTAACGACGCGGGGTTGCCTATGACATCACTTTCGAGATGCGGGGGAGGGTTTAAGGTTTCATACTTAAGAGTACCCCTGTTCCTGAAACTACCGAGTGAGCTGGTGGGGGGAATGAGTGCAGCATCCCACCAAAGCAGGTCCAATCAGGACGCGTCACAAATAACACATCAGAGGAGGTTCGTCGACACACACCAAACCTGTGAACATTGATCGCCTCCGAGCCATATGCGTCACATTCGCCCCCAGGATCATGATCTGGCGGGGTTACAAATGGTTGAGAGTTCTGGACCCAAAACGAGTGAGTAGGGTGGAAGATCAATAATGGACGATCATTCGTCTTACGTGAAGCATCCTGCGTCTTCACGAAATGAACAAAAGAGGGAGGCATGAAATGGTGAAGCAACTGTACACTACCCTCAGAGTATCGATGTGTTATTTGTGACGCGTCCTCAGGGTCAAGAGAAAAGTTTCGGGTGGTAGAGTTCCGGTAACTCGCGAAAAGAACTGTGATGGATAAGGGCGCGTCCTCTCCCTCGATCGAACCTCCACCGAGGACCTCCTACACTTATACTGTAGCTTCGAAATTCACACGGTAACCAGTTTCGATATGGCTTGCAAATGTACAGTAAATGGTGCCCAACGATCTTGTCCCCTCCCGCGATGACGATCGGTGCGCCTTCGTGCCCACACAGATCTGGGTTTTTTTACGGTAAATGAGAATGCCTCTATTTTTCCCCCCTGCACGCTCGATCAGGTCTTCCTGGGCTCAAGATTGACCCGTGATTGCAAATCTGCTGTCACCTCCTACCAATCGTGCCCCAACCCTGCGATAGGTGTGCCAGATCGGTTTCTCACAGCGGTCTTCCGATCGATCGAGGGAGGGGACGCGCCCTAAGGATCTAGCACTGAGGCTGCACTCCCAAGGGACAAGCGAAGCGGGGCTCACTATGGCAAACTATGTTATGTGTTATTAACTCGCTTAGAACACACCTGCGATTAAATTATCGTGCACTAAGAACGTATGTTAGGCCCGCTTGTTTAGGTCCGCTAAAGAATAGGGGGGTCAACTAAAACCGAGAATGAAACGCGGCGGAAAACTTTAGCAAAAGTAGTGTTTTTGGGACTAAGAGCGAGAAAACTAGAGTGTCGCGTGGCGGCCTGAAAATCTTGGAAATCTTGGATGGATTGGATGAGGATAAGGTTGGATGAGATTGGAGCCACTGTTTAGGGTTAACTAACCCTTGAACAGTAAAGAACCTCGTAACACTATCCCCCTCCCAATGAGGCGACGTCCGCGGCGCCTGCAAACTGAAGGTACGCTTGGAGGGAAGCGTTGTAGGGAGACAGCAAGGACCATGCCAACGAACCAAGAAGTAGATGAAGGAGATACAGTCCTGGAGACGTCGACAGTGCCTGTGGATGTGCTGGATCTGGTAGTCGAGCTCGTCGGTGTCAACAACTACCAGCACTGGAGTGTCCGAGAATGCGGCGTTGGGATCGGTGTATGGACGACGGAGAGACACGTGAAATGACAGGTTATCGAGAGAACTGTGCAGGGATGATTGGATTAGCAAGGGTTGGGGTACAAATACTAACCCTAGAAGTGCTGTACCCCATAAGGAGTGCCCCACTATATCCTACAAGTAAGATGTACTTTGAGACACCCCCATAGTGGGGGATAACAAGACGGTCACAAGACCAGTCAAGGAAGACAACAGAGCAAAAGCAAAGCAAAACAAAGCTCAGGGTGGATCTCAAGGACACCACACAATCTGAGCACAAGCGAGCGGCCACAACGCCAGTTCACATGCAGAGTTATAATAGCAAGGCAGTACACTGATCACAACCTAGCAAGAGTAAACAAGCAATATATCTGTGTACAACAAGAGCAAGTCAAGCAACCAGCAGGTGAGGCAGAGTGGGCACAAGCCCAAGAGCAGTGCAGAAACGCTGATGATCACCAGACCCAAGGGCCTTGGTGCACACATCAGCAGTGTTGGCCCGCGAGGCCACGTAGGAAAGGCAGAGCTGACAACGCTGCTGCAGCTCACGCGCAAGGAAGTAGCGAAGAGCAATCTGCTTCGTTCTGTGCTCCAGTCTCTGCTCGTGACACAAGGCAAGCATTGCCGTGTTATCGACGTACAGAACTGGAGGAGAACGAGGCCGCTCCCCCAAGTCGGTCAGCAGGTAGGTCAGCCAGCGTAGCTCCTGTGCAGCCATGGCCCCAGCGTAGATCTCGGCCTTACAGCTGGAACCAAGCACAGAAGAAGAACGAGTGGACCTCCACGAGACAGAACCAGAGCCAAGACTGAATGTGTAACCCTGTGACGAACGATGAGTTGCCTGGTCGTCGGCCCAAGAAGCATCGGAGTGTCCGGTGAGTACCACTGAACCCTGTCCTCCAAGCACTAGCCCCATGCGCGATGTACTGCACAAGTAACGCAGTACCCTCTCCGCAGCATCCCAGTGCACCTTTCGGTGTCTACCGGGAGCCACGTAGCGAGCTAGGAGGCTGAGACGGTACGCGAGGTCAGGTCGTGTGCATGTCATCAGGTACATGAGGCAACCCACAAGCTCTGGGTACGGACCACTCGGCTCTATGGACTCGTTCGAAGGTGGAGCTGAGAGCGAGTGGCTGGTAGATAGAGGAGTGGTCTGTGGCGAGGAGAACTGAAAGGCAAAGCGCTGAAGGACCTGGTGCACCATGTGTGATTGAGTCAGAGTGATGGTGCACCGTGCTCTGTCCCGGGTGATCTGCAAGCCAAGATAGCTACGCAGCTCACCCAGGTCAGTGCAGGTGTGTCTCTCATGCAGCTCCGCCTTCACTAGGGCCAGCGCCTCCGTGTCAGCAGAAGCAAAAACCAAGTCGTCCACGTACACTAGAACGTAGAACGGCGGCAGGGTAGTGTCGGTGCGTAGAAACAGCGACTGGTCAGCAGAGGAAGGAGCAAACCCAAGAGCCGCAAGTGTAGTCTTCAGTGTGTCGTGCCACTCTCGGGGCGCCTGGCGGTGACCGTAGACTGGTTGCCGGAGGCTCCACTGGGTACCCGCAGGAAACGACCCAGTGCAGCCGGGTGGGCGGCGCAGCCAGATCTCCTCGTGAAGGCTGCCCTGCAGGAAAGCTGTGCTGAAGTCCAGAGAGTGAAGCTCGTAGTCACGCTGTGCTGCAACGTGCAGCAGCACCCGAAGAGTAGTCATCTTCGGGGTTGGGGAGAAGGTCTGGAAGTCGTCGACCCCCTGTCGCTGACTGAAGCCTCGAGCAACATAACGCGCCTTGAAGGCATGAGGAGAACCCGGCGGCCGCTTCACTCTGAAAATCCACATGCCATCGACTATGTTCGCCCCAGGAGGAGGAACCTCGTCGACGTAGGTGCATGTGGACTTCCAGGAACCCCTGAAAATATCTGCATCCATGGCTGTCTGCCACTGAGATGAGTACTCACCCGCGATCGCCTCAGCGTAAGAGCACGGGGTAGGGATGTGAAGTGCATCCGGGTCTCCCTTAGGGCAAAGCAGCATGGATGCGAAACGAGGTAAAGTGGCCGCAAGACACTCAAGCTCAAACTGTCTGTCCTCAAGTACGTCACTACCAAGGGCAAGCTCACCCCCGACGGACGGAGGAGAGACAGACTCAGACTCAGTGGCAAGACTCGTGACGTAGTCAAGACGACTCCTAGCTGCAAAGTCGACTAGCTCAGTGACCAGAGCAAACGGTGTAGTAGACTCAAGGTCAGGGTCAGTGACGACAGTAGCGAGAAGACGAGTGACAGTAAGACTGGCAGCACGAGCAAGGTCAGACTCAAGGTCAGAAACGTGCGGAAGAGAGGACGTGGGAGGCTCAGGCAGGACAACACGCTGTGGAATAGAGGAAGGACGAAGTGCCATACCATGAGTGCCTGGGACGGCAGGAGGATGTGGACGGGCGACACGACGAGCACGAACAGGCGTGGAAGCACGAGTCTCAGGCTCACGACGCTCAGTCAGGGACTCAGTCACCTCAGTGTGAGGACCAGGCGCAGGTAGCGGGGACCCAGGCAGTAGCAATGGCTGAGACTGGGCTGTCGGTGGACACAAGAGAGGTGGAGTGAGGCCACTGGAAGACAAGAGACTAAGAACTTGGCGAAGGACCGAGTCAGGCGGCGGCAGAGACGACTGCGGCTGCGGGTAGAAAAACGGTCTGCGCAAGGCACTTCCTGCAGCTCCAGCTCCTCCAGCACCAGCAGCACTAGCACCTCCAGCACCAGCAGCTCCAGCAGCACCCCCAGCACCTCCAGCACCAGCAGCACCACTAGCTCCGGCAGCGCGAGCACCTCGAGCACAAGTAGTACCTCCAGCACCTCCAGTGCCAGCAGCTCCAGTAGCACCTCCAGCACCTCCAGCACCAGCAGTACCACCTGCTCTGGCAGCTCCAGCACCAGCAGCACCTCCACTACCTCCACTGCCAGCAGCTCCAGTAGGACCTCCAGCTCGAACAGCACCACCAGCTCCGGCAGCTCCAGCACCTCCACTACAAGCACCTCCAGGACCAGCAGCTCCAGCACCTCCAGTACCTCCAGCTCCAGCGCCTCTAGCACCAGCAGTACCTCCAGCACCTCCAGCACTAGCTGTACCTCCAGGACTAGCAACTCCAGCACCAGCAGGACCGTACCCTCCACCACCAGGTCTGCCTCGCCGAACGATCCACGCACGAATCGCCTGCGGCGAGAGCATCTCAAGTAGGTCACGCTGCGGTGGCTGTCCAGCTCCAGGACCTTCAGCAGGGTCACCCACAGCTCCACCGCCACTAGGACTCGCAGGACCCCCAGAGTCAGTACCCCCAGTCGCAGCACTCCAAGAACCAGCACCCCCAGACGTAGCACCCCCAGAACAAGCACCC